AATTGCTTGAATGATTTATATGTAGTGGAAAAGTCTCTGGGTGGCTATATCAGACATAAGCCAAAGTCATCTTTGCCAGAAGCGTTAGATGGGAATTAAAAAATGGCTTTGGAAAAGTCTATGTGAAAGATAGCCAAGATATATAGATCTATGCTACTGTAATTACCGATGGATGTTCTAGATTTTTCCTCCATGAATGCACATCATGTCTCATGTATCTCTATCTGTCTGTCTGTCTATATATCTATCTACCTTCCATATTCTTGTGGGTTTGGTGCTTGTGTGCCAGGAATGACTAGGTAAAGACATGCCTAACTAATATTGATCCTTGGATTTCTAACTTTTTTATTTTGGTTTCCAGTATATTATAAAAAGTAGAAGTGTTATTACAATGGAAAACTAGTGGAATATTGTAAGATGATGAGAATAATTAACGTAAAACATTTGGTGGTGTAAAGACAGCAAAGTAGCAGCACCAATCAGTTGTGATACAGGCAAGTGAACATGCCTGAATAGAGGCAGAAGTTTGAGGCGGAGACTGCTTATAGATCCGAATAACACTTTTGGCCACTTGTTTGTGGGGAGTGATAAAATATGGTAACTCAAGAAAACTGTTAAGTCGTGAGAGCACAATCTGGGCTGCAGGGTGCTATCCTGCCTCAAAACCCCATTAAAAATGAGAGGGGAATTAACGTTCTTCCCATAATTAAACTGAGAAAAATTTAGGTTGAAGTCATTTCCAGTAATGCTCTTTAGAACTAGACAGTAAAGTGGGCACTGTTTGTCATACCCTTGAAGTGGCATGCTCTTTTCCATTTGTAGGTACAGAGCTCAAGACATCAGCTGTCCCCAAACTGAATTACAAGTGGATTATACAGCAACAAAACAAAGCAAAAACCCCAGAGAAAATGTATCATATGAGTCTGTGCCCTTCCAGCTGTAGTCTGAGTAGGTCAATGCTTTTCATGTGAAAGGGATTCAGTATAGGAGCACATTTGGAATAAAAGAATTTCAGGCAGCATGTGGGGTTGAGAACGGTACCGTTATGAAGACTGAGTGTTTCCTCGCCCAAGCTTACACGTTTGATTTCCAGCACATTCCACCCCTTAACATTAAACAAAACACACAATGGGTGTTGGTGTAAGTGACCAACCAATAGTAAGAATTGATATTGGGAAGAGTGAGGATTAATGACTTCTTAAAAAACAGGATTGTGAAATAGTCATACAAAAGAAAGAATGGGAGAATGGTAAGTGTATGTCTCAAGGACAACAGAATTAGGAAGGGTTTGCATTTTGCATCTGAAAAGGGACTTGTAGGGTTCCTATCTGCAATGCCAGCACTAAGGATTGTTGCAAGTTTGAGACTAATATGGCCTACAAAGTGAGACCATGTCTCACCTCCTACTACACCTCTTCCCAAAGAAGAGTACTAGTCATTGTAGTTATAACTTGCTTTTATAACGGTTAAGGGACTACTTAAAATGCCACAGGATGATCAGCCTGGTAGCTGTCACTTTTTAAAGAAGTCATATGAAGAATGGATTTTAATACTCAAACTAAACTTTGAAGACCAGTTTATTCTGTGATGATTCAAGAAGGCCCTCGTTGCATGCCAGTAGCATGATCCTGGACTTCTTCACTTACAAATATAGCTTGCAGTGTTGCTAATGCAGTAGACTGTGGCAGCATTTTATCTTTTGCAATACAATTTGCAGGTACATAAAAATATGCTCTTTAAAGAATTTTAAAAAGTAGGGAAACATAACCTTCTGAAAATGTTATCTTACAAAACACTGTTCTACAAGGTCTTAATAAAAATGTCTGATAGTGTTGTGTGGAAAATTATTTCAATTTGTTAAGCAAGAATAAAGATATTTCATAATCTACTTTTATTTCTTATCTGGCTTTGATTTATAATCAAACTCAATCCTGTAATCCATCTAGATTCTTAAGGGAGTAGGGAAAGGTCTGGAACCCAAGAAGCATTAGTGGGACCAGAAATTAGGTGGTATTTTGAACTGAGAGGGTTGGGGCAGTTTCCTGAGCTACAAAAGGAATGGCTTGTTGGGTAATATGCAAACAAGTCAAAAAAGTATTAGAGGTGTCCACTGTTGGTAATGACAATCATCTTGTTGGTTCCTGGACTCAAAATGTTCAATGGCTTCCATGACATTCACACCTTTTTTCCTCCTTTCCAAAGACATTTGCTACCCAACCACTCATTCTTGGCAGCATGGATAAAAATCCGAGAGGCATTTGTTTGGTCCATCATGTGTCGTGGGCAAGACAAATGCTTCAGGGTGTAGTTTTATCAAATTTCCTTTGTCATCAGTGCCATTGTGGTATGTGGAGCCACCACCCTGGCACATGAGTCCTGGTATATTTCTGTGAAAGGAGGGAAGTCCTTTCCTGTGCAGTGCTCAGAGTGGGAAAATTTTCTGTTGTCTTGCAACTGTTTGTGAACAGCTGAAAGGAGACATGATTGGCTGCCATATTAGATAACACATTGGTGTTAGCAAGTGGCAATAGGAAACAAGTGTCTGCAACATGGCCAGTAACATATTAAGCTACAACATTATTTTTCAAAGTACATTTTCAGTTATATTACGCATTCTTTAGTGGTTGGAATTATTTGTGCTAAAGTGGCCATATTTTGACATTTCTAATCAAATTATCCAATGATGAAATGAGGTTAAATAAATGAAAGGACAAAGGAAAAAACTGGATACTATAGATAAAATTTTGATTAGACTTAGTTATCATTTTTTTACATCAGCATTTATGAAAGTCACACTTAAAACCTTTTTTACAAATATTTGAATTTAAATTAAGTAAAAATGAAATAGAAAAAAAGCATGATACAATTAGATAGAATCCACGTATACAAGAGTACAAATCTTGAGGGTTAATAAATCATCCTTATTAACTTGATTAGATTTAGAATCACCAGGAAAACACCTCAGGGTATGTTTGAGGTCACTTCCAGAAGTTTCAGTGTGCAAAAAGACCAACCCTGAAACTGAGTGGAACATTCCCAAGCTGAATAAAAAGGAAAAAAGTGAATCAGGCACCAGGAGATGCAATGAGAACAGCTGTCTCATGTATGCATCACTATGTTGCTCTGGGCATGATGGATGGTATCTCTTTTAAAAATTCTAAGTCAAATAAAACCTTTCCTTCAAGTTGCTTTGATTAGAGCAACAGATAACTAACAGATACATGAATAAATGATTTGGTGGGTAACTGTGTTATTAATAATAGTTTCATCTGGGAATACAGGGGGATGAGGAAACAATTTTACTTCCTAAGTATATCCACTTTGTGAAGATTTGCTAAGCCTTGTGTGTAAATATATATGTAGGTATGTACAATATATGTACATATTTGTAAATATATATTTGGTTTACTTTATACAGTTCATTTAAAATGGTTGTACAATGACTCGACAGCATTCTTGTTCTAGTTTCGATGCAAACAGTTTGCATTTATTCACATTGAAACTTTATATTCTCACATTCATTATTCCTACTCTCCTTATTTTCTCCTTCACATGGTTTTGTAAAATGATATTACAAAGGGATAATCTTTGATAAAAATTGCACATGTAGGAAAATCACATAGCTTAGGGCTTGAGGTGAATAACAGGTATCTATAGTGATTCCATGTATGTGCATGTGTATGTGCTGTGATGCACATGCGGAAGACAGAGGACAAATGTGAAGTTGCTTCTCTCCTAATATCAGGGTTCCAGGGTTCAAACTTCGGTCAGCATGAGTTGTTATGCACTGATCCATCTTGTGGTCCTTACTAATTTTCTAGTCATTCATATGGCACATATAATTACCCAAAGTAATTTGAAAGGAATACAAAGTAGGAGGTGGTTCTTTTTTAAAATTATTTCTGAGATAGGCTTTCTCTGAGTAGTCCTACTAGTCCTGTAACTCTCTCTCTGTAGACCAGGCTGGCCTCAAACTCTGAGATCCACCTGCATCTGACCCAGGGAAATGCTGGGATTAAAGGTGTGTGCCACTACTGCCCAGGGATGGCTATTCCTAAAACAGCCAATACAACCAAAAACTAATCACAAAGTAGGGTAAAAATTTATTGGACTTTTCCTTTGACAGATTCTGACTACACCCCAAGATTATTATTGTGTCTCATGTTTTCTCAATTAGATTTTTTAAAAAAAAATGACTAACTAAAAGCCTTAAGAAGTCTTGTATGGTGTTCGGTGAAGATTCCTTGAAGACACACACTTAAAAATGCATTAGTTAAAAATGTTTTCTTATGACTACAAAAGTAGGCCAAACTAGACAAGTAAACAAGGTTAGGTGATTACATGGTAGCTCTATGTAATCCCCAAAGTACCTGGAATGATTGGAAAATTTATCACAGCTCCTTTGTATTAAGAAACATATAGTTGTTTACAGATTTGGTCTAGGTACACACTACCTTGTTCTAATATGAAAAAACAAACTTGCAAAATTTATGCTTATATAAAATAACATTTAGAATATATGTGGTTGTAATAAAATAGGAAGACAAATATTTTAAAATCTACAGTTTTAATATACCAAGTAATAAAATATTAGTACTTTATTTATTACAGATACTTAATATTTACAATTCTATGGGCACATATCTACATTTTTAAAACAAAGTTTTTGAAAGTAAAATCACATGAATGAATAAAACAATGTATTGACAGACTAGAGAAAAGCAAATACATCTTGGTCTTAATTTTTATGACTCCCAGAGTCACCTTGCTTTTAAAAAGCATTCACTATTTTTTTCTAAAATGTCCTAATTAAGCTGTGGTAAAGTAAAACTAAACTCACATCATGCTTAGAGAGTTGCAACAGTAACAAAGCCCTGAGAAATGGGAAACATAACCTGTTGTAATTTTATATTTACTTTTAAAATACAAAAGAAGTTTCATGTTGCTTGATGAAAATATTTTAGTAAACACCTTTAGATGGCCTTTTTTCAGAGACTTGAAATACATTTCTGCAGGGACAAATACCAGACAAAGGGCATAGAGGCTTCTTAGTGTATATTTTCTTTAGAAGTGTTTCTTCTAAATTTTCTAAGCATGTTTGAATTTATTTTGTTGGTGTTTCTTTTAGAACCTAGAAGGAAAAAAAAGGTGAATAAATTTAAAGAAACTTTCAAAAGTGATTGTTAAATTTATGTAATAATTTAGTGACAAAATTTACTCTTAAAATTCATGCTTAATTAACTCAATTGAAAACACAACAGATTTTCTGAGACCTCCACCTTTTGGTGGGAACCCAGGGCTTTCTTAGCTTGAAACTCCCCTCTACCCCTGCCTTCCTTTCTAATCCATCTCCATTACTTTGTGTTAGTCTCTAAATCACAGAAATACCCTCTTACCAGCAACTCCTACAGGCCACACAGAGCTGTGATGCAGAAGCCCTCTCCCTATAGCCACCACACTTTCATAGGATCCAGAGTGACCACCAACAACCAAAGAACAGAATACTCCAGAACAATCACCCTATGACCTATAGCAGTGACCTGCCTGCAAGATATACTGATGCATTAGTGGTACACATGCTATAGGAGCAACCAACCACTTTTTTTTTTTTTTTTTTAAATTGTTGGGAGTAAGTCCCACTAAATGAGGTGTGGCCTGAGTGTGGACCTGACACTGCTAATGTGGCCAAGAACCTGAAAAATAGATAGGTCATGGGCTAACAGAAAACCTATTACTATACTTCTGCTAAGGGTACAGAGCAATAAAATGACTTCTAATGTCATCTATATACATAGATTAGTGCCTCACTTAACTCATATGAGAATCTTCTTGCAAAGATTCTTCTTAAGAATCTTCTTAACAAAGAGACTCACAGCTGGAAAACAAACAAAGAGTGAGAGACTTTGGTCATCATCAAAGCCCTCCACTCAAGGGTCAGGGATCTATAAGGAAGAGAAAGTAGAAAGAATCTACGAGCAAGAAGTGATGGAGGACTCTACAGAAACAGTGTTTTCTGGACACAACAGAAATGATGCCCAGATAAACTCATAGAGACTGTGGCAGTATGCATAAGAACTGCTCAGGTTCAAGTCAGACAGTGTACCATTACTAAGAGGAGGAAGTAAACACCAGCTCTCAGCACTATCTATAATTGATACCCACTGGCAAAAGAAAAGTTAATTTTTCTTTAATGGAGTCTTAGAAGATATATCAACCACACTTCTGGGCCAGCCCTATGCCTAGGAGTAATTGAACAAGACAATATGCACTCAAAGGTATATTTGTTTCATTTTAACATTTTTTTTTTTTTTGGTCTTATTGATCTTTTTCTTGTTTGTTTTGATTTTCATTTTTGTCTTTTTACATTTTTAAGTGTTTTTTATTTTCTGTTATTATTATTATTATTTAAGAGAGCCATAAATAACATAAAGTTGTATAAGGAAAATCTGGAAGGAATTGGGTGAGAGGAAAAATATGGTCAAAGTGAAAAAATAGTTTTCAACAACAACCAAAAAATTGAAATGAAGAAAGTAATAGGTATACAGAAGAGGAAAAAAAAAAAAAAAATACAACAGTAGCAGAGCAACATTAATACTGCTGGCTAAAAGTTGTCCACTTACTCTCTTTCTCCATATTGTAAATAACATTAGCACTTCTGATAAATAGGTGTCAAGTAAAGTCACTCAATAAATTACTTCAGTTTCTCCATTTTCATTAACAGAAAATGTATATAAGCCGTTGTTTCCTTTCTCTCTTGTATAACCACCGTTTTCATATTCTTTGGATTATGTCCTCAGGCTGAGCTCTGAAACTCTGCTGTGCTTCTGACACAAATCTCACGGTCTCCTCCTTTCTCCTCTCAAATAGGGCCTCTCTACTGATAGGGGATGTCCTTCTATATATGTTTCTCCTATTAGTTGATGAATAAAAAACTGATTGACCAGTAGCCAGGCAGGAAATAAAGAAGGGTTACCAGATGAGGAAAATTGGGGGGGGGGGGGGGGGAGATAAAGGGAAGCTGCCAGGGAGACACCATGTAGTCGTCAAAGGAATAACATGTTGGAGACTTCTCCAGTAAGATGAGGCCATGTAGAAATACATAGATTAGTAGTTATGGGTTAATAATTAAGAGAGCACTAGCCAAAGAAGCCTGAGCCATTGGCCAAATATTTTATACTTAATGTAAATCTATGTTTGTTTATTTGGGACAAATCTGCTGTGGGACCAGGTGGGACAAGAAACTCCATCTTCACTCTCCCTTCTCATTCTTTTGCCAGTTCAGTTGTTTATACATGCTCTTGGTCACATGACTTAATTTTAGAGGATCTTGTTTTCTTGTTTCTCTAACTGCTCAGCTGACAATACTTGCCTTTCCCACCGCCACTACTGGCCTTTGTTGTTTCACTCTTGTACACTATTAGGTGAACACGATTTAAAAAAAGCAGTCATATTTTCTTTCGTTTCTAGTAATTTTTAAAATTCTAGTACATTTTAAAGTGTGTTTGGTTATTTTGGCTTATTTTATTTTTTAAGAATATTTATCTTCTATTAAAATTGATAACCTCTAACCACTCCATTATTTTTAATCAGTATATTTTTTTAGCTCATTGATTTAAAACCTGTATAATAGAAACCTGCTGAAAAAGTAAGCAAGTATCAATTGTTATTATAGGAATTAACAAAGGTATTGAGGAAAAATAAGAAAAGCTTTCATGTTATGCAGAGGCATATATGTTATCTCATGAGATTCCTTTAAATTCCAAGTGATGTAAGTTCCTCCAGGGAAAAAAAAAACAGTCTTATAAATCTTCACATTCATTCTGGGTCCTAGCATAAGATGAGATCTTAAGAAGTCAGTACTTTCTGAAGGAAGTCATAGGAACTGGGGTGTCAGAGACAGGTATGGGCCTTGTGGTCTAGAATGGTTGATATAATACACTCATTGACAAATGGAAGGAATTTTGTTCTTACTGACTCATGTCACTCCCACATGTAATTGAGGGTATGTAGGATCCTTCATTAATATCTTTTCTCAACTTGTCAGTGGGAGTCACAATATGATTATAGCTAGGAGCAGAGTAGAGACTATATAGTAATTATAAATGATTCAGAGGGTAGATGTAAAAACACAAGCACTGAGATTAAAGTTTCAAGTGGATATAATTTATTTATAAAGTATAGTTAATAAGTTAGGCAGGGGGCCACACACCTCTAATCTCAGCACTGGGCAGCATCAGCAGGAGAATAACTAGTTCAAAACTAGCTTTTACTACATAATAAGATCCTGCCTCAAAAACAAAACATTTAAATCTATACACATACTTAATATATGTAACTGACTTACTGTGTAATACATTTAACTATTATTTTAATCATATTCAATCACAAGGTATCTGCATTATGAGGCAGTCTATACAACAAAAAGGGTATCCAGAGTAGCAAGCTGGGAAATCTGGTCCTGACTTCTGGATCTACTTTAACATCTGTTATTGATGTTACTGTATTGTTATTGAATACATGCCTCACAATGTATCTTAAGTTTCCTTTTCTACAATGTATAAAAACCACATTTATCCTACTACAAAATATAGAGATATTTATAAAGACATAAAAGCAAGGTACTATATGTATAACTGATAATTATGTAATTAAATGCTAGATTAAGAATTCAGACATACCTATTGTTACTCTGTTTCCTTGAAAGAGCTTATCACTTGAATTATCCTGTCGAATGCGTTTGGCAAATCCATAATTTTCTTCAGATTGTAAAGAAGCATTTGATGGTGCACTTGTAGAGAAAAGTTTTCATTTTAGTTAAGACATTCAAAAATATCCTTAATTCATATGCTATATATTGTAGGAAATCAAATATAGAAATAATTGTGAAATCCTGCATAAGTAACTGGAGGCACTAAAAATACTTAAAAAATAAATTTAATTATCTGTGATTTTAATGATACTTATATAATTTAAAAAGATGATTTAGGTACAGGTAATAGTACTGCAGAGTATTTCTGAGAACGAACATGAACACTGCTTCCTATTTACAACATGGAGAGATGTCACAAGGGGGTAAAAATCTATTTTTACAGAAAAAAAAAAGTATTGTTAGGATTAAAATTTCATCAGATAAAATTCAGTTTTGTAGATTTTGGAATATCTAGGGCTTTTGAACTCTAATTTTCTTCTTGTTAAAGAAAAATTAAAGTAGATAATGTACAATGTAAAACCACATTGTAACATATACACCCCTAAATATGTACATACATGAAATCTACTAAGTGGAAAATACCACAGCTTGTTACTTTCAAGTTCATCTATCTTTAATTGGAGGAAAAGGAAGATTAAAAAAAAGTAATTATGTACACATCTATCATTAATCTCTTTTAACCTTAGTTAATGGCAGGATCTAATTATTGATACCAGGGCAAAGGTACCAGAGTAGTAACTAATAGTCTGTGAACAGTCAAGTTACTCTCTTTATTATATTCTTTAATATTGTTTAACAGTATTAGTTTCTCATGTGCTAGCTAATCCTTAACACATCTAAACCCACAAGTACACAATTTCCACAAGTAGACATTTCAAGAACACATGTATTTGAAATGATTGTGTTTACATTTTAAGAACATTCTTAGTACAGACACTTGCAATATTTTTAATAAAAACATGGGAGCATGAAAAAAAAAAAAAAAAAAACCCAGAAAACTTAATTAGTGGGAATGGGTGGATGAAACAGATGCTGAATGAAGTTTCATTATTCGAACAAAGTGAGCCAGACCAACTGCACAATTCAGATTGTCACCTGATCAAAGTGCAGCAGTCCCAATTGGCCCACAGATCATTATTACAAGATTCTACTGAGTAGGGTCCCGAAATCAGGGATGGGATTAAACTCATAATATGCTTTGTTTTTTTCCCTAAACATGTACCTAGGATAAACTTCCACATTTTGTTTAAAGAAAGCAGCTTATGACTGCTATTTGGAGCATCCAACTGGCAGAATCAGTTAGTTGCCTTTTGTACATGGGAAATTATTTTGTAAAGTTAAGTGTTATGTGAAATCAAGCTATGCTTAATTCACAGTAGTTCTAAACATGGCCACTAAGTAGCTTGTAATAGGTAGCACATATGGCATGGGTAAAATGGATATAGGTATGGCTGACATCATACTGCTTAAGAGTGATATGCAATGAAAATTTAAATTATTATTTCTGGAACTCTTCATTTATTATTTTCAAATATTGGTTGGCTGTTGGTTTCTGAAACTGCAAAACCCTGGGTTGAGGGAACTACTGTACCACTGTTTAAGAACCACAGAGAAAGACAGTCTGGAAAAATCAAGTCATTTGTATGTTTCAAGGTTCCTTTGTCTCATGTTTTGGAAGGGCAAGAGAAGATTCTAAATTTACTTATGAGAAAATACTACATGAAGTATGAATAACTATGCTATTTGTAAATTTGTGTTCTGTGGCCTAAATAAGAAATTTAGAATTAACTTTAGCCGTTATTCTTTTCTCTATATTCTATTACAAAAAAAAAAAAAAAAAAAAAAAAAATGTGATAGAAAAAGAAAGAAAGAAAAAAAAAAAACACAGACCATTTCATATTTAGGTTTTTTTTTTTTTTAATTGTACCCATGATAAGCCATACACCTAAAGCTATTGTGTTAATCATACTTATGGTTTGTAGTACTTTTCAAATTGGTGATTTAATGGCCTTTGTCAGTTTTAGAAAACTATTTAGGCAATATCTTATCAAGTATAGCTTTTCTCTATTCTTTTTCTACTTTTGGAGACTGAAAATAGGCATTTCCAGACTTAAAAAAAGCAGTGTTCTGAATGTCTTCTCCATAGTTGTTTTTTCTTTCTGTTTCTTCCATTACTGATTTAGGCATTTTTCTATGCATTCACCCTCAAGCACATTGATGTTCTCTTTTGTTGTTGACTGAGTTATAAATTCCAGTAAAACCTATCATTGTGATTGTAGGATATCTATTTGATTAATTTCAAGAGAATACAGTTCTTTGGTGAATCTTATAGATTATCTAATCTGCCAAAATGAATCATGGTTACAATCAATAGTTCTTATTTGCTCATACTTAGCAATTAGGGATCATTATTTCTTTTGATTGCTTTCCATTCTTTAAGTCTTCTGGTTGTGTATCTTGACATTCCACAGTTCTGGTTTAAAATGATGCATGAGTATCTGTATAGGTTCTAGATAGCATATTCTAGAGATTTTAAATTTTAGTTTAGAAGAACATGGAATAGAAAGATCACCTGAATTTAAGGAAAGACTGAGTTGATCCAAGATCTCTTTGAGGTTTTAAAACTGGGTTTATTTCTAGTCTGTCCTATCCTATTCCTAGGGTACAGAACCTCGATGACTTTAAATAAAATCCTCACGTATTTAACAGTACCACTTCTTCTATAGCTTTTGACCTGGGACCTTTGGAGCTCAGAGTGTCAAGCTCAGCTTAGCAAAGTGTTCTTTTAGCAGCTACTTTCAGCTTGGTTCTCAACAGAACTTAGAAGCAGGCCAACCTGAAAAGCAATGGCTACACAGGCAACCTTGGTCCCCAGCTCACTTAAGTGTCTTTTGTTTGGCCTCCAGTCTTATGCCATGAACTGGCAAGCCCTAAAAAAAAAAAAGGGGGGGGGGTGGAGACAACTAAGGCCTAGTTCCCGTATCACGCTGCTTTCTTGGATGTTACAGTCTCAAGTCCTGGCTACCATGGTTGTTTGCTAGTACCTTTAAAAATCTGTTTGTTAGTTACATTTTATTTAGCTGTTTTAATTCAAAGATAATTTTATTATTCTTGCTTGTTGGCTTGTATGATATAAGTTACAGTGATAGCAGACACTTCATATTATATCTGGTATATATAAAAATCCACTAAAACCACTGAACTCTAGGAGCAAAGAAGTCCAGGATACTCAAGCAAGTAAATAATTATTGTCAGAATAAAAATAAGAGCTAAGTGACAGTTTGCAAGCTAGAAGACTTTTCAAATTATTTTTAATAACCTAAGAATGGGATATTTTATGTAAACTTCAAGTGAAATCTTGTGCTTCATTCATGTTTCCTTTCAGTAACATAAATCCATGGCTTCACTGAGCATTTAGCATAGATAGGATTAAATAAAAGCTGAGAGTCTGACAACAATTGAGAGTTGTGGGAAATAAAAGTGTAAAGATGATCTTATACACAGGCTGAAACAGTAAACGCTTCATCATACCTTATTAGTTTCCTTTTCCTCTTCGCAGCAGCAGTCATTGCCATGTAGGATGGCATGCTTGTTGACACAGGCCTAGAGTCCTTTCTTGAGAAAGAGGAAGATTCAAGCCTGGACAATAGGAATGAAGAACCAAAAGAGAACAAACTTGACTTACATTACAAAGAGAAAAATGATTTATACTTCTATAATCAGGAAACCATTGATTATTAATACTTACAGAAAGGTATCCCTCTTTCTAAAGAGGTTTCTCAATCACCTTTTCTATTTTAAAAATACCAGTAATGATGTCAAAAACATTTCTGCATTTCTTATAGCAAGGGAATGCAGAGGTATAGTCCCTCCCATGTTTAGACTGAATGTAATTATGTAGTTCAATGTTTGTTTAGATGACATTCAGTCACTTGGATTACATACACTGGATGTTGGGCTATGCTGAATTTTGGATATTCTTTAAGTGAGGCATTAATGACTAATAGTAAGCAAGGCAGTCCTTCACTGATGGCTCAGGCTGAGTAAGAATACAGATGAAATGTACTTTAAGGTCTCTTCTAGTTTAAGGAAGGCCAACTGACATAGGATATCACATTTATGGTTTAAAAAAACGGTTAGAGTATCCATACTCAATTAATCTGTGGTAATGGTAAATGATCAACTTTCATCCAAGGAGAGGACCCTTGATCTATGAAATAAACCTCCAAAATAAACAAAGAGAAAGGACAATAACAATTACAAAGGCCTTGAAAAAATTTGTAAAGCATTCTGTTTTTGTACCTGTGTAAACTACCTTTGGTGTTTGGTAGTGATTCCTGTTTGGAAAATGTATTCTTCAAGCTGTCGATATCATTATATATAGTAAATGTAGAGTTCAAATCCTGTTTACACTCTGTTCTCATGTTGAGAGGAAAATCTACTTCACATAGTGTTTTCAGAGAATTATCATTGATTCTATTTGTAGTAGGTGATGAAGGCCTTATTAAGGCTGGGGATGGGTTTTGAAGAGGTCTTCTGCAGTTCTCTGGGGTATAAACAATAGGCTTAAGTTCTTTGCTGAAAGAATCGTTGAGCTGTGTACTTTCCAACAGTGGAGACTTCTCAGTATGTTTTACTTGCAAGGAAGATGGTATTAATTTTCTCCTGGTTCTCTTTTGTGGAGTAATGTTAAGCAAGTCAGGTTCATTTGGGGACATGCCTGTTCAATTAAATTATAAAATTAAAAAGTTAAATAATGTTGCTTCAATAGTTATTTCAAAAATCACAATAGTTAAGAAAAATCACTAGGAATATTATCTACCATTTGATAGAAATCTTAAAGAGAATAACTAAGTAGGAAAGGAATAAAACATGGTAATTACTAACAACTTTAATAGTAAATTTACTGTATAGAGTTCAGAGAATAGCCTAAAATTAAATTTCCAACCACTTCTATCAATCCACAATGTCCAGTGTTCAAATTTGTCCTAGGGTTATTAATGTTTATAGGAATAAATGTGAACAATAATCGATATTCAAATAACACCTGCTTATTAGGACTAAGGAAACCGCAATTTTTTCCTCTGTATTTGTCAACACCTTCCGAAGTTGTACATTTTAAAAAAATACTTACAACTAGAACAACTGTGACTGTACATTTCTTTTAATTAAGAGCTTTTAGAAATCTTTAACAGAACCATGCTAAGGCAATTTTTTGGTGCTTGATCCAAAATTAAGAAACAAATTGTTCTGGTAGAACTTAAAGTGAATTCTCAGAGTTCTAGAAATATTCTCAACATTTAAGTACACAAATGTTTATCAAATGCCTTATGTTATTCTCCAAAATAATAAGAGTATAACAATATAATTTATGAATTCTAATATATTTATCTTATGTTTAGTATTTTGCCTGCTTCATTGTGATGAATTTCAAGAGACCTGCCATGAAGTATATTAGTTTAGCCTAACTTTTCATAGAAAATAATTGTATTCTTTCTATGTATTTTTAAAATCAGGCAGGAAAGCTCCCAATTGATGTTACATTTGCTTTATTAGTTAATACTACTTAAATACTGATAGCAGCACCTATATATTTCAGCAAGGCAATACAGCACTCCTGCTAAGTTAAAAATACATGTATAGCAATTACCAGCTGTATGTGCATTATTCTTATTATGATAGTTGACAATTACCCTCTAGGAAACAAATTAAAAACAGGAAGAAATAATGATCTCCATTCTACTAAGGAATTTGACTTTTCTGAGAACTAGATAAATGAGATCTAGATCTTAAAATAATTTTCCACTCCCTTTAACATGACATTTGTCAAATTTTCCATTACCAGATATTTTTATACTAATGCCGCAGTGTAAAGACAGTCACTCTTCTCCACTGTGCTGCTACCACCAATTTGGTGGCTAATAATAGCTAGAAGATTAACTTCTTTTCCCATGAGAGACACAGGGGTATAGAAGACAGAAAACTATATTGAGGATAGAGAACTGAGTTGGGAGTCAGGAGACTGGAATTCTATTTCTGGTTTTACCAAAGACCCAGTGGGTGACCTTGGGCAACTCGTTTTAAGTAGTGTGCACATTAATACCTTGTTGAAAAATGGAGATAGTATCATTGTATAGAAAAAGGAATTTCTAGGATTAGATGATAGAAACATGTAGGGTTCAATGATATGGTCTGGAAACAAAAAAAGTACTTCAAATTAACTTCAATTTTAACAAGGGGGCAGTTTACTTTCCATATTCTATCCATAATCAATTTCTAGTTTCAAATGACAGATATAGTTTATTGAGATAGATCATACATTACAATATAAACCAAATGAATCACTGAAATAAAGACATAAATGTGTTATTTGCCATGCAAGCATAATAAGATATAAAATTTAGCAAAATGGCACAGAAAAATCTCAAAGAGATAGACAGCCATCATTACCACTTTTCTTCTATATGTCTAAGAGGAATAATCTCTGCAGTGGTGATCTGGCAACTGAACATAATGGAGGACTAACTTTTTCCTATATCAAGTAGGATATGAAAAGGAGAATCTTCCTAAGACACCGCAAAGACAGCCACCTGTCTGCTAAATACAGATGCAACATCAAATTTTATATGGCTAGAATAGTAACCGATTAGAGAAAGAAATAACTTCATAGTGATACATCCTTAGCTATAATTTTGTAGTCTAAAATGTTAAAGTGGAGGAGAAACAAGCAGGTAAACATGGAATATATACCGATTGCTGTGCTTAGCTTGGAAGATACTATGGATACAAAAAATGTATGCGATAGAGTTCTCAGTTTTCAAATTTATTTAATTTAGATAAAATGAGGCAGATGATCAATTTAAGACTACCCAGGTGGAATAGTTGATAATAAAGGTTTAGGAGACAATAAAAGCAAAACCAATATTCACACACTTCCACAAAAATAAAACATTCAAGCCACTGTAATTATACACAAGGTTATGACCCCACTTAATGAAAACTAAAAACATATATGACATTTCATTTTGAAGAAATTTTCTAGAATATAGTGATATATATATGCACATACATACATACATACATGCACACACACACACACACACACACTGTACCTTTAGGAAGGTACAATAAGTGGAAAATGTATGGTTAAGGTTACTATATAGTTCATAGGCTCTAAGATCCACTGAATGTGGTAGATCTGTGTTGACAAAAAGGATTTGCTGTATTTTTCCATTAGAAGAAAGGGGTATACAGTACATTTCCAGAAGATCTGGCTTGGAACAACAGATGTACCTAATTCAGCCTGAGAAAATATTATCTACCAAGTGTAGATAGTACTATTTATCAAGATTCCATAATTCTCAAACTTAGAGTATAGAAGTGATAAAAAGCAACCTGGAAGGAGTTATATTCCTTCATAATGTTTCCATAAAAGCTACAATGGTCATGCCCAGCACTCAGGAGGCTAAGGAAGGAGACTTGAGAGTTCAAGGCCAGTTTGAGCTATACAGCAAGACTCTTTTAACCACCCACCCACCCACCCACCCACCCACCCACCCACCCACCCACCAGTAGCATGGACAAGAGATGAAACAAGAAAATCATTAACAGCCTGCCTCTATAGCTCACTTGAAAAATGATGACAGTTTGAATGGAGAATTATGGAAAGCATGTTAGAATCAAATTAGATGCAAATGCTATAAAGTATGGTTTGTTTTTCATCAGAGGGACCAGAAGTAAGTAGTTCTGGCAAGGAGTAGGTCATCTTTGAGTATCAGTGGGTACTGATTCCAGAATAGATCCTAAATCCCAGGGTCCACTCAAATCTCTATAATATGGTGGGTGGGAGGTGGGGAGATGTAGCACTGTGTTCTCCAAGATCACACTGAATTAAGAGTCAAAGGATCCTCAGTCTTTGGAGTAGCCAGGACAACAGGAACGTAAATTCTATGCCCAGTTTTCATAAGGAAAAAAAAAAAAAAAAAAAAAAAAAAAAAAAAAACAAAACAAAACAAAACAAAAACAAACAAACAAAAAAAAACATACATTTACTTCACCTGACTTAAGAGGAAATATAAAGGGACAGCAGATAATCCAGAAACTATATCCTCCAGTATTACACAATTTTAGCTTCTAAAACAAGAGTAGAATTAAGTCAATTAGGGAATAACTAAAAATGTAGAGTATTCACAATTTCACTGTTACATAAAACAATCTTTTATGGACTTGATAAAGGAGAAATATCTGTTAAATGAAGTGGTATATGGATTTTGTAAACATCTTGATCTTAATGGATAAAAATAAGCAAAAGGTCACCAAATGCAAATCAAGGCATATATAAAACTCCACAAACAGAAAATGGGGAAGAGTCTCAGAAAAGCAGAGAAGGAAATATGGCAGGTACAATGTGTGCCATCACTAGGAAAATGACTTGCTTTATGTAATATACAGGACATCCTCTAAAATACACACACCCCATAGGAGTAATGCCTTAGATAATTTTTGTACATACATGGTACAGATGAAAAAGGAAAATTAATTTAAGGTCTGTATAAAAAAGTGAGACCCTGGTATCTTCAAGTCTAATCTAAAGACTTTTGAGTTGCTATTTTGATTCACAGGCATGTTTTATTCTCTGCAGACTTGTGACTAACATGTGCAGTTAATACAAGGGGTTGAGGTAATTTCTCAGTTCTTCTTACCACAGTTCAAGGATCTAGACTTAAATACCCACTGAATGGGAAGATGAAGAGTTCTAAATAAAGTATAGAAAGACGTACACTCTGTAAGTTGTGGGCTCTGGCATATTTACTTGCTTTCTTTTTCTTCTTTTGAGATCTCTAGTGAATCTAGTAAGCCTTTGTAATACTTCATATGCACAGCCTGCATGAAGATTTAAAGAATCTTCTTGAAGCATACATTCAGAATAAAGTTAGTTTTCTACTAGTCTACTCCTGAATAATGGCTAGAGATTATTACTTCTAAAAATGTGTTTAAGTCCACAAAGAGATCTGAAAAGGAAGTTAGACAAAATATTTTCTGAGACTGTTACTTTTTTAAGTTTCCCAAAAAGATATTTAATGTATTGAAACCACTCTTAAAAATTAATTCTGTGAGCACTGAAGTTGTGCTGGGGAAGTCGTGCATGTTTCATTTGGAATACTCATAGATGTTAAGACATTACTAACGAGCCACGAAGAAAGGCTGGTTAGGAAGGAGAGGTGTAGAATACACTGGTGTAAGGAGTTAAAAGGGTATATGAAAACAGGAAGGGTTAATGTGGAGTTGGGAGAGACTGTAAGGTTGGGGGTCGGTGGTATAGAGTATGCAGGGAATAACACTAAAGACCTTTTGAAAACAGATATATGGAAATCTACTATTGTTAAAGCTTCCTAAAGTACATACACACATAAAGAATTATAATGGGAGTTACCCTGTGAAAGGGCGACAATGATCCTACATCACAGAAGGGGCTAAAAAATAAAAATGCAGTGTCAAGAATGTGTTAACTTCTGTTAGTTGACCAGTAAGGTCCTACAGATCCTCAAACATTATAGGCCATTGGCATTGCTTTTGGTTGCCCCTCCAGATCTTTACAGTAAGACCGTACTGTTGAAGAGACCACATATTTAAGTCAAAGAATATAGCAAGTCAATCTGGTGATGACCTGAAAGCTTCTCTACTGACTAGAACTGTATATAGTGCTGGAGGGTACTATGA